AATTTAATTTAATTTAATTTAATATTTTTTCAAATATTCTTTCTGTGCATCAAATATTTTTATTTGCTTTTTTATTGTAATTTGTCCTTGGTCAAAGCTGCACTTGTGAAATATCTTACCTGTCCAACATGCCAATGCAATCTTGTACTCTGGGTCCAGTACAACTGCAACACAGAAAATTATATAACAATTTATAATTAATATACTTGAGTTGCATTGCAACAGACTGGTAGATTTTACCAGTATTATTCAAGTACTATTCACCATGGTGCCATTTCTAATACTGTCCTAAATTTATCCAGATAAAAAATAACAAAATGAGTAGCCTAAAAAAATTATAAATAAAAATGATAATCTAACTATTATATGATACATTACAGTTATGTTAATGTAAGAGAAAATGTGCTTAACCATCATGAAAATGTTACAATAAAAAAATAGCCTTTATTGTCATCATGCAAAATATAATTTATTATATTTTCCTTTGATTTGACATGTGACCTGGACATGTTTTTGTGAGATTCGCCAATCCAGGTAAAAAAAATTAAAAATAAAAATAAAAGTTTTGAGCAGAGAATTGTCAGCCAATAAGGGCATGGAACCCTTAACGTGACTATTACAAATTAAACACTAAATACATGTTAATAATTTTGCATATTATTGGGTTCAGGCTATTTATGTAACTCCTATAAATTTCCAGTTTCCAGCTAAACCAGTTGTGAACCACTGATCTAGGAATTCAAGAACCTGTTTTTTTCTGCTCTCAAATCCCCCAGGCCCATGCGTCTAACTGAATGCGGTAACCACGACGGCATTACCCACATGGGCAATTAGGTTAGTGCTCTGGGCATATTGTGCTTGATGCAGTTAAAGGAAGGAAAGAAGCTTACAAATAGATTTAAGTGCAAACACAAGCAAACAGTCGTACCCCTGGGTGCAGTTGGGGTGGCAGGGATGGCACTCATTGTTGGTCTCGGCATATTTGAAGATGAAGCTGTTTGCTCCCTGCAGACCATCAGGGCATTTCTCCACACAGTTGGGTCCATCTTTGAGATGCAAGCACTTCACACAGTGATCTGGACCCTGTAATGGGAGACGAGAGAAAGATGTAAGATTAGGAAATGAAAAGTGTCTTAAGAGACTGAAGCATTGTTTTAAAAGGGGAAAGGAAACATTTAATGAAACAAACACAGTCGTGTAATATCATTTTGACTTTTCCTAACACATTCAAAATCAAAATCTTTTGAAGTTCTAAAGGACTTTCAGGTCTTTGCCGTTCAAAGGTTTGGGGTTGCTATGATTTTTTTATGTTTTTTTGTCTCTTATGATCACCAAATCTGCATTTATTTGATCAAAAATACAGTAAAAAAAAATTATAAAAAATATATATATATATATATATTTTTTTTTTTTTAAATGTTGATACAATTTCAAATAACTGTTTTTTACTTTAATATATTTTAAAATGTAATTTATTCCTGTGATGACAAAGCTGAATTTTCAACATCATTACTCCAGTCTTTAGTGTTACATGATCCTTCAGAAATCATTCTAATATGCTTTGTTTTTTTTAAATAAATAAATAAATCTTATTACCTTATTATTTCATACTATATTGAAAACAGTTGTTCTGCATAATATTTTTGTGGAAATTATATATTTTTTTATGCTTTTTTTGGATGAATACAAAGTATTCAAATAAAAATCTTTTGTAACATGTAAAAGTTGTTTATGCATCCTTGCAGAATAAATAAATATATATCTTAAAATTTTGCAGCAAAAAAAAACAAAAATCAAACAAACAAAAAACATTCTGTCCCTAAACTTTTGAACGGCAGTGTAAATCTATGTCATTTCACCTGTTTTACTGTCCAACAAACAAAAATCATAAGTCCATCTGGTAAGGCAAGTAAAAACACTTCTCTATAAAACAAATAAAATAAAGAAACATTCATGTAATTTAGATAGTAATACCACATATGCAGGACATTTGGGGCATGTTATGCACCACAGTTTAATTCTTTGTGTAAAGGGATTTGTCCCAATGTAAGTATAACATATACATTAAAGGCAAGCACCACTAATAAACAACCTCTTTGCATCAATAATATGCAACTGCATGATATAGCATGGTTAGCCAAGCCTTGCATCATCTAATACGGTCTGACGATACATTCTGAATGAGGCTACAGACAGGATTTAATTTTGAGACTAAAAGTGGATAGCTTAATTTGTTTCTAATCAATACCACTCTGTTTCACACTATATGCAGACTGGAGCTATGATGAGATGAGGACGCTTTTTCTGTTGTTTCACGTCAAGGTTGTCAAGTTTTAATTAAAGCAAAAACAAAATCCAGTAACTAATATAGTCTCAGATGGCTTTTAGGCTCGTACCGGACCATGGCAGGTCAAACTTTTCTCTCCGGCTTTTTCACACTGGCTGTCACACTCAACACAAACTGAGCCATTGGTGTACTCTCGAACATCCCTAGAACAGATAGAGAACAATGTGTTATGAGCCAGCTATTGTATACTGTAGTACATTCTACAAAAACAAGTATATAGCAAAATGCACTGTTTGACAAATATGCACGGTTTGCATGACATTGAAGGCCTTTATACTCAGTGACCAGGGGCTGCTTAAATCCAAATCTAGGTCAATTAACTAAACAGACTTATAAGAAAAGCAATACAAGTGGAAACAGCTTAAGGAGCCGTCAATAACTATTCTCATTTGTTTCTGCTGTCGATAGTTTCATTGAGAGTATTCAAAAAGAGTTTCCAATGAGCAAAGAACGAAAGCTTATCAATGAAGTCCTGAAAGCAGTATCTAAGATGTAACGAAATCAAACCTCCAGTGAATGAGTGCCAACGGTATGAGGACTCAAAAAGGAAAAAAAAAATAAAAATGCATGGTTCCCTAACTGTATATATGTAAGATCAGAAATGTTTTGCTATAATGTTTTGCTCTTTGTAATCCTGAATTTAAATGATTACCATTCCATTTTTGTATTTATTTAGAGAACATTTTTCCTTTATTAAAAATGTTAGAGCTGACATTAGAGGTTATGTATAATTAAAACGTGCAATGAATACAAGCTATATTTTCACCACACAAGTATTTCTTAAATTCTTAACTCAATCTTGGATGCCACAAACACATTTGCAAACAAAAGCCTAGCATTGCATATTTTGCCTGTTCTTTTCAATGTCTGTTTCCATGTCTCCATGTTATTTTTTTTTCCGCCTGCCAGAAAAGCAAGGGAGTCGGTCTATTCCTTTGAGTTATAAATAGCATTAAAAGCATTTTGATCCCTTGATCTTGATAGACTGATCATGATAGTCATACTGCAGATATATCTTTGGAGCCAGCGGCCCGTCTGAACAAATATGCATTTGAAAAACACATTCATATTAAGGCAACAGCAAGCTAAAGTAGTATAAGATTTTATTTATTTATTTATTTATTTATTTATTTATTAATTAATTCATTCATTCATTCATTCAGTCATTCGTTTATTTATTTATTTTAAATACAACTTTGAAGAAAAAACAAGTTCTATACATGAGCATAGTGACACCACAAATGATTTGTTTGCACACATACAGTACTCACCCATAATATAAGTTGCAGGACTTGACACATGTCTTTCCTCGGCTGAAGTATTTGCACGAGAGACACTGGTCTGGACCAGGTCCCCAGCATCCTTCCTCCGAACACAACGGATCACAAACCATCTGCTCTTTAGCTGGAAAAAAATACACAGATGCACATGAACAGAAACAAAGAAAACACTGCAATCAGTTCATTCATTTGGAACTTAGATGTCTCCAACCTACAAATATGGCTGTGAAATTATGATATTCATGAAATATTTATTACTCAAATCACCTTCAGAAAGCTTGTCAGGTTTCTTGACATGCTTTAAAAGGTTACTATTTTTAGCTATTAGTTACAATAGCTATTACTTTATTTCTATTACTACTAATTAAAACCATTAATTATTGACAGGGAATGTTTTTTGTAAGAAGTAAATAGTGTATTTATTATAGTGAAATGTGCATGTTTCAAGCTGATATTTAGAGAGCAGGGACCACATCAATCAATCATTACTGTTCAAAATATAATTATATTTAATTATATTGTTATATTAAAAATAATAATATTTTTATTCAAACTGGACAGCTAATTCAGCTTCACTTTTCTTCACATTAAAGCAGGATATAATTGAAGATGTCACTGATAAATGGCAACAATGCTACAGGAACTATTTTGAGTGTCACATCCGCAGGGAGTGAACATTTTTCACTTGGATCTAATGTGAAACAAGGGAATTCTTAGAAGTAGTTAATGAGGACATTTCTGAATATATTACTAAAAAAATATTTAAATCATTTAAAGTATGAGCAAATCTGTGAAAAGATTCAACCCAAAATTGGACAGGGAAAGTACACTTGGGACAACAACACACATTTGCCAATCCTCTGAAAGTACAAAGGCCTATTAGATTTCACTAAACTAGTCCAGCAGTGAGTTTTGGACATAGTTTAGTGAGTTGGATGAGGGAAACAGGCTTTACTCATGGGTATCATCAATCCACCTATAGTTCAGCCACATAACTGTGACACAATATTCTGAAATAATTTTCTAACATTTAATTAAATATAGTAAACATTATTATTATTATTATTATTATTATTATTATTATTGTTGTTGTTGTTGTCATTATTGTTACCATTGTTGTTGTTGTTGTTAATATTAGCTAATTGAATTGAAATTATTAAAATAGTAATAGTAGTAGTAATACATAATTTAATTAATAATCACTTAAAATGTAATTCATTAAAATGATGATGATGATGATGATGATAATAATATCAAATTTAATTACAAAATATCATACAAATACAACAACATCAGCAATTATAGAAATAATAATAATAATAGCAAAGTCACTGAAATGATTAAAACAACAACAACAACAACAACAACAACAATAATAATAATAATAATAATAATAATAATAATAATAATAAATACTTTTTATAAACAATCACAGTGAAACAAAATATTTTTAACATTTATTAAATAATATTATTGGTCCCACTTTATATTAAGTGGTCTTAACTACTATGTACCTACAACAAAAAATAAGTACATTGACTTATTGTGTTCTTATTGTATTGCAAAACACTTTTGCTGCTATTGAAGTGGGATACAGGTAAGGTTAGGGACAGGTTTGGTGGTATGGGTAGGTTTAAGGGTGGGTTAAGGTGTAAGTGATGGGTCAACAGTGTAATTATAAATGGAATTAGGGAAAATAATTACATATGTAATTACATACAGGTATTTTTAAAATATAAGTAGAATGTGAAAACGTGTATGTACACAATAAGTGCATTGTATTAAATGATTAATTTAAACGCAAGTACATAGTAGTTAAGGCCAGTTAATATAAAGTGGGGCGATATTTTAATTGACTATTCTCAATAGCTATCAGTTGTGTACAATCATAAACATCATTCAAATTTTTAACTCCTTATTAGGATTTATCAACATTAAAACCAAAGGTATGAACAAATTATTGAATGTACACAACTGTTGTGAATCTGGTGATGATGATGATGATGATGACTTTCAACTACAATTTTGTGATAATTTACCTATAAAGAGAGCGTCCTCCAATGGTGGCAAGGTTCAAGAAAACGCCAAGATCTGTCATGTTCTCCGGCCAAGACTGAATGTTCAAGAAACCTATGAAAACACAGAACAAATAAAAAATATCCATGCTTTTAAATACCCTGAGAATAAAACAAATAAACAAACAAGTTTGTTACTATGACAGCAGACATCGGCTTGGGGTATCGCCACAGGTCCAGTGAGTGCAATATTATTTACAGCCTGTCAGACAGTATAAAACGACCCTATTACATTGAAATGAAAGTATATTAAGGGAAATGATTGCGCTAATTAAAAGAACGAGTTCCATTACCACAAAGTATCATTTCTTCAGATGCACATTGTTTTAATTACCAGTTTGTTGTCTTGTATTGGGTGAAATGTGTGTAAACTGAGGGCACACCAATGGCGCACAAGAGAGCAGTTTCTGAGTTTCATTTTGAAAACGTTGCTTTGCTGCTTCACTCCATTAGCTATTTGGCACAATCATAAGAATAAGTTGAAAGTGACAAAAGGCTTTTAACATGATTCATAGTTCATTCCTTTGAGGCTTTATAAACAAATAAATATTGTGTACCGCATTAACATAAGGTTTTGTGACATAGAATATTTCCCAACTCAAAGGATAAAAGTTAATGTATGAAGAAATAAAGAAAGTTGATGGTTTTACGCAAGGCTACACAGGTTTAATGGGCTGTCATGTGATGGATATGCTCACCTGTGATCTCTCTGACGGTGCGGAATACATTTAGCCGATCAGGGTCCAGAGCTTTTATGCCATGAAACATGTCCCTGTTAAAAATAAAACACAAAAAGAAAACAGAAAAAGGGTTATATAAGTTAGACCATGTATGGGATATATATGCTAGACAAAGCTTTAAGGATATATAGGCCACAAACAGATAAATAGACTGGACTCACCCTTTAATGCCTGTGATGAGGAAGATGAGGTTGCCATTGATTTTGGTGCAATTGACAAACTTCTCAATGTTGCTGGAATCTACAGTTTGAGCCGTTTGAAGACTGCCGGTACCTATACCATCACACACTGAACACCACAAACAACCAATCTATCAACATTTATCATTTATACAACAAAACTGAGGTCAAACACTTGGTTTAATAATTCTGAAAGGTTATTCTCAGGTGTTGTTTATGTTGACTAAAACTAAAAACTAATACTAATTTCCATTAATTGAAATAATACTGAAATAAAATGAAAGATACATATTAGAAGAAAAAATGTTGCCTTGGAAATTAACTAAAGTTGAAGTTGAAGTATTACAACTAAATTGGAAACAAATAAATAATAAAACAAAATAGACATAATAAAAAAAAAACAAGACGGATGAATTTCTGCCTCAGAATACATATACGGCTCGAAAGTGATCTTATTCAAATAGCTTGCTATCTACGTAGAAACCGGCTGCAAATTGAAACAGCAGTTTCAGACTCAAACAACCCATAACAAACTTGCTGCGTGTTTTCTTTTCAGATTTTCTAAGCTGGCAGACACGTCAGAGACTAAATGCAAAAAAAAAAAAAAAAAAAGCTAAAAAATGTGTCAATTTCATCCGATGTCCCCTTTAACAGATTCTCAAAGACATGTTGACACACATTGTAAAATGAACTGAAAAACTGGCTTGATCATATTTCACTGAAGAAAAAGAGTTATTCAAACATCAAGCGAGTCAATTTCCCCCTCATTATGAGCCTAATTATGATCAAATGCGAGTCATATTGAGATTGACTAATATGACCCAGTTTGGTGCCTGGGCCCATTATCACTTCTGCTTATTTTGTGGTCATCCCTCATTAATCTCTATTGAAAAACAACAAACTTTTGTTGCAATCATGACAGAGGAGACCAATAACGTGTTTACTCTTTACATACTTTACAGTTTTACATGCACTGCAGGTATACGATTCCTCTGCTTTTTAGACTATCTGGAACTAGCAAGAATTTCTCATGGCTGGTTAGCGCTGGTTTGGCTGGTTTATTAATAAAAACTAGAATGGTATTTCTGGATGATCAAGGTAGTCTTTTGTTGGTTAACATGGCTAAGAAGTCTATTCGAGACACCAGAACACCAGCATCCAAAACACAAAATATGCTGGTCTTTTCATTTCAGAGACAGTCTAAGAAGGGTAGATGGAACTAATGAAAGGAAAATTAATGGGAGAAAGCATAATGCTTAATTTGGTGGATGTAAAGTCCTGACTTTTAGTTAAATAGTCAACTGCTTTTTTGATCATCTTTGTTTACTCTCAAATGTGAATATGCATTAGCTGGATCAGCCTGAAAAATACACATTTAATTTCCTTTTATACAGTATATATCCTTTAAAAATAAAAATTAATCAATCAATCAATCAATCCTTTTATATTCAGCAAGGAGGCATTAAGTTGATCAGAAGCAACAGTAAAGACAATTATAATGTTACAAATGTTTTCTATTTCAAATAACTGCTGAACTTTCTATTCATCAAAGAATCCTGAAAAAAAAGTACAGTTTTCACAAAATTATGAAGCAGCACTTCTGTGATGTTTGTTGATCATCAAATCCAGCATATAAGAAGTATTTCTAAAGGATCATGAAATACATGGATACACTGAAAACTAGAGTAATGATGCTGAAAAATCAGCTTTGCATCACAGGAATAAATTACATTTTTAAACATATAAAAATAGAAAACAGTATTTTTAAATTGTAATAATAATTGACAATATTACACTTTTACTGCATTTTTTTTATCAAATAAATGCAGCCTTGGTGAGTATAACATACTTCTTTCAACAACATTAAAAATCCTGAATTATAGTGCACATTATGAAGTATTATTTACACTAAAGAAGGAAAATGTACCATTACCTGCATGGCTGCCAAGTGAACTTAAAGGGACTTTCTGGATCTATGTATCATCATCCCACTAAAGTCAATAAGAGAACTAAACAACCTTTGCGAATATCACTGACCTTTCGGACAGATGTCAGTGCATGGGATGCACATCTTGGTGTGATTTTCCTCAACCTCCATCTTGTTGCTCGGACAGGCTCTGACACAAGAGTTGTGATCCACCACAAAGTTATCTGAGATCCAGACAGCAGAATATTTGAGTATTAGCTGTGCAATGATAGTCTGAGGTGGGGAAAGAACATTTCTCAAATTGGAATTTGAGGCTAACAATCCTTTTTTTTTTAAAGAGTAGTGACCATGAGAAAGTGATTGTTTGTTAAATTAGTAATATTGTTCTCCAAGAAACCTTACTTACGTGGGCATTTCTTGACACAGAAAGCTCCATAGGTGTATTTGGCGTTGGGATTGTGCTCGAGCTGGAAGGTTGTTGGATTGTAGACGAATGGCTGAGGACATTGTGTCACACAGGCCCCGCTGTCATTAAAGTTGGTACAAGCCTGAGAACAAAAAACAGTCATGTAATTATGTGGTCGATCAACAAAACATGACTATAATGGAGAAACACCTCTGCAGAGCTTTAAGTGTTTTCAACACACAATACAGCACAACATCACCATGAAACTACTTTAAAAATGAAGTGAGCAGGCATTTGTCAATACCTCTAGTACACTTTAAAATCATGCAGAATGAGGTATAAATACAGGAAGATGTTGACATACGAAGCAGTCTGTGTCTTTTGGTCCGAAACAGCCTCCTGCACATTCACGGTGACAGCAGTTACTGACGTACGGACCAAAACAGCGTCCATCACACTGCTCTGCACACACTGTCTTTGTCACTGTATGATTATGAAAATAGATGGAGAGAGAAAGAAAGAAAGAAAATAGTTTATTCACAGAAAAAAAAAAATTCTATACCAAGTACCAATAAATACTGTATGTGCTACTATGGTGGGCAAATTCTTTATTTGTCTTCATTCATTCAAATAATGGCAATTCCTGATTCAACATACAAAATAATGATTTATTTTAATTCAACCCCCC